TTTCGGACTGCTAACGAATCACTTTTGGCCTTTGGGAGACTGCTGATAGCTGCTGGTATTTTTCTTCTGATTTCCTTATACGCGATCGCGTAAGTTTGTCTACGATCGCGAAGAGTAATTTGGGCTGAGGCGACTTTGTTCTATGCGATCGCGTGAATGGGGTTGCGATCGCGTAGGCTTAATTGGGCAAGTCCGCGATCGCGTAGGTTGGGCCAGTCTGTGGATCGCGATCGCGTGGCATTATTTGCGATCGCGTAGGGGAAACTGGAGAGGAAGCCGGGCCACGCATTTGCTCTATGCGATCGCGTGAGAAGGGATGCGATCACGTAGAGTTGGAACCTTGTGCATCGCGATCGCGTGGCATTGTTTGCGATCGCGTATGGTTATTTTCTGGGCAGTAAAAATTTGTGCTACGCGATCGCGTGAGGATGTTCGCGATCGTGTAGAAGAAATCACTCGGCAGAGAGTTTAAGTTCTGAAAATGGGACTTCTATTTTTATCGATTTGGAGCTCGGATTGAGGCGAATTTTGGGAGATATTAAGAGGAAACAACGGGGTAAGTGTTCTTAACTCAATATTGGTTAAGATACCCGAATCCATCACTGTTTTATCATTTAATTGGTGAATTAAGTTGGAAAAGTTTGAAAACCCTCTTTGATAGATTTGAGGATTTGAGAGCTGAATTATTATCGGAATTTAATAATTTTGGTATGGGTAGACTCGTGGTTGAGTGGGCGTTCATATTTCATAACTTTCGCCGGATTCCGAGATGTGGAGCAAGTTGAGGTATGTCTCTTGTCTAATCTTGTGAGGAGAAAATTACTCCATAGGCAATTAAATTAATAATTATTGCTAATTGTGGGGGCTACGTACGCACGAGGTGACGAGAGTCCGTGTGTAGCAACTATTAATGCTAAAGTCCGGGTAGTTTAGGACTCAAAGCATGAATTACTTGTGTAAATTGTATCCGTTATTTAATTAAATTATTTGGTATATATTGTGAATAGTTGGGTAAAAATATTAAAAGATGAAAATCTCATATGCTTAATTTTCTATTTAAATTAATTAATTGTTAAAGGAAATTTGTTCCTCCTCTCGAATTGATCTTATAATAAATATATTCTCCTTCCGGAGGTACATAAGAAAATGTCCTCCTTTTTTGTGGAGCGGACTGAATGCCTCGGCAGGATAAATGCATCTATGGATCTCGCCGCACGTCCCTCGGCAGTGTACACGACACTTTGGATCGGGCCGTACGAACTCGGCAACAATCGTGCCTAATAAAATTTATAATTACACGATACCTTGAAATTTTAATTGCAGCTTGTGAATCTAGTTCATAGATTGGAAATTGTTGTATTTGAAGGAATTAAATGGTTTCTGTTATTTAAATAAATTATTGTTAACTCTATGAATCATGTTGATTTATATATTCTAGTTTAATTTCAATTGTTATTATTGACCCATAGTGAGTGTCAAAGTCGGCCATCTCGTCTCTACCTCTTTGAGATTAGGCTTGATACTTACTGGGTACGCATTGTTTACGTACTCATGCTATACTTGCTACACTTTTTGTGCATGATCTGAGGCAGGCACTAGTGGAGGCCCTATCATCGCACACCCGCGTTATCCTGAGGCCTAGTGGTGAGCTGTCTTTCTGAGTCGTTCTGCAGCTACCAATGCCTCTTCTTGTATTTGCATTCTGTCTATTTTATTTCAGACAGTGTTTGGGATTTTTTTTGTATAATCTATTAGATGCTCATACACTTGTGACACCAGGTTTTAGCACACACATTGGTAGAATTGGGAGTTGATTATTTGTTTTTCTTGGATTTAAATTAATTGGTATCTTTTCTGTTTTCTTTAATATTGCTAGTAAAATAATAAAATTACATAGAAAATTATTCTGAAAATAATTGACGTATGTTTAAATTACTAGTTGGCTTACCTAGCTGTAGTGTTGGGCGCCATCACGACCTATAGGTGAAATTGGGTTGTGACATTATAGGTAATATTTATTTTTAATAATTTTTGGAATTCAGACATGTGGGTCCGAGGGTTGACTTTATTGACTTTTCGAGCGGAGTTGAAAATTCTTATAAATTGATTAATTATAAGCATTGGAGTATATTTTGATTGATTTGCATTGACTAGTTTCGGGACGTTTGGCTTTGAGTTGAGATGTCAGAGAGGCATTGGAGCCGGTTATGGAATTTTGGAGCGAAATAAGTCTCTTGTCTAACCTTGTGAGGGGGAAACTACCCCTTAGGTGATGTAATTGTTATGTGCTATTAGTTATGGGTGCTACATACACACGAGGTGACGAGAGTTCGTACGTAGCTAAAGCATGTTTATGTCCGGGTAGACTTAGGACTTTACCGTGTAATATTTAAATTCATTCTGCTAGCTTAATTAATTAAAATTATAATTAAACTTGATTTAGAAATAAATACATATATATTAGGCCTACCTTGAGTTTTTGGTAAGTTATTTGAGAAACGGTAAAGGTTATACTCACCTTGTGTTCATATACTGTACCATAAGCTCGTGTCTCGTAATTCGATAATTCCTTTCCTTTCTTGTGGAGCGTGCCGAACGCCTCAACAAGATTATGTACCACACTCTCATGGGAACAGGTCATTCGCCTCGACAGTAAAATAGATGCATCTATGGTTCGTGTCGCTCGACCCTCGATAATGTACACATTATGATGGGATCAGGCCGATTGCCTCGACAGTATCATATTCTTTCTTAAATCTGGTCGTACGACTTTGGCGTATTCGTGCGTTATATCGCTAGCAGTCCAAATATTTACGAGATTTTTCCTTCCACTGATGCCTTGTATTTTATATGGTATATCTTATTTATTTGATATTGGCACTGGGTATTTTCTGAGCTGTTGATATAGAATACGAGATGAGAAATTGATATCGTTTAAAGAAATTTTTGGAGATTGTGTTAGTTACAGATTTACCTCACTACTACTGTTGTGCTTCTTATCTGTTTATAATTTACCATATTGATTTATTAGACCACTAGTAAGTATCGATGTCGACCCCTCGTCACTACTTTTTCGGGGTTAGGCTAGATACTTACTGGATACGCATTGATTTACGTACTCATGCTGTACTTCTGTACTAAATGTGAAGGATCCGACAGGTTCATTTGGTGGTCATCTTAGCGCGTAGGCGCATCTGCTGATCAGTTGAGGAGACTTTATGGTGGGCTGTATTCTATACTACGCATCGCAACCCACATAGTATTCATCGTACCATTTACTTTATTCTGTCTTATTTACATTCCAGATAAATATTGTATTATTATTATTGTACTCCAAAGTAAATGTTCATGCACTTATGATACCGGATTTTGGGATATACTAGTTGATGCTTACGGTTCTATATATTATCGTCGCCTTTCATTTCTCTTATAAACTACAATTTTTGTACGTTCCCGTGGATTTAAAAGTGTAAATTTCCTTCCTTATTAAAATTTATGATTTCGAAAGTAATAAAATGAGTAATTAAATTGATCAATTACTGTTGGCTTGCCTGACGACGACGTTAGGCGACATCACGACCTATAGTGGATTTTGATTCGTGACAAAGGAAGTTTATCTTATTATTTGTGACCGTCCAATAAGATGGTTTCAATGAATGCCATATCATTAATATAAATTTTATCATGAGTTGGTACATGATACGTTTTTTGGCTGAAATTTTGAGACAAATAAAAAGATAAAATGAAAATGAAAATCAAACTATAGTATAAAAGGGATTTTTGCTACCTATACTACATAAAAAACTTATTTACCCTCCCTAATCAAGTTTTAACTTAATTACATGGTCATATACAATTTATCATTATATAAAAATTAGTTTTAAATGAGTATCCCTTGATTGTAACCTTTTAATTTAGTAAATCACGAAAAATCCTCACAATTCCTTACTTACCCAGACAAACCCCAATCTTTCTAAAGAATTTTTCTTTTTCTCTATTTGAAATCAACCCTCTTTCTACACCGATTAAACAAGGTTTTTTCTTCTAAAGTTCATAATTTTCGGTAACAATGCCGAAGAAATGGATTAATTTTTTATCGATTTTGAATTTTGTCATGGATGGAGTTTGGCGCTTTTCTGGGCTTCCCCTTTTCTTGTTAGTGTTCCGATGGCGGGCTAGCAATAGATGTATATTAATTATTTGGCTGGATTGTTCGAATTAAAATTGTCAATCAATATATTTTGAAGGTGTTTGACTCTCCACCATTGACAGCCATTAAAAAGTTTTCAAAGCTTTGAATTTGAATTCAGATTTTTCAAAAAATATTTTTTATTTGGATTGGGTGTTATTGAAAATAATTAAAAATATTCTATGGAGTTTATTTCTCGATTTTGAGAGTATTTGGTGAAAATTAGATTTGATTTGACTAGATTTTCATATTGAAATTCGAAAAAGAAGCAGAAGAACACACCACATACAATATATATAAAAATTATATACAAAATAAATACAAAAGATATATTTTATAAAATTTATATAAAAAATATATTTAAGTTGTATGATGTTGTGATTGTATTTAACTGGGTAAGAATTATGTATGAAAGTTGTAAATAAGTTATATATTATATAATTAGTTGTATGTTATTGTAGATATATTAAATTTTGTATTAAATTTGTTTGAATTTATTTTTAATTTGTATATTGATGTACCATACATTGTTATTTTTTAAAAATAGATAATTATGGCAAAGAGAAAGAAGAGTTACGCTAATTATGGCTTAAAAGGATAACATACAACTGGAAGGAGTCTTATTTAGATGAAAGGATAATTTGAACTTCGTTCCCTTCGGTTACGTCCTTTTTCAAGCAAAGAATCTCCTAATTTAAGAAACTAATGATGAATTTTATATAAATTATTAGAAAAACTTATTTAGGGCGAGTCTTCCCTACGGATTACTGCATTTATAATCCGATAACCGTCAAATCAAACTGTATAATTATGTGCCCGATCCTTCTATGAGCACCCACTACATGGTACGGGTCTTTGCTTTATTCAGAATGTCAGACTCCATTTCTTCGTCTAACACGATCCTTTCTCTCATTTTCTCGCGTTCTCTCTGCCATTGCTCAGGTTCCAAACAAAGTTAAAGCTCTCTTTAATTTAATAATTTTTTGGTTCTTTTTATGATTTTTTTTTTGCGTTTTTATGTTTGAAATTCTGTTGATTTTACTCCTAACAATTATACGAAATTCAAACCAATGATCTCAATATCACTTCAAAATGCTTTTCTATCGTGATTTTGATTAATAATATGCGTAACATTGCTTCTTTTACGTGTCTGTGTGATGCATTTGCTGGTTTATTTTTGTTTTTTAAAAAAAAATAATCATGTGAAAGTGAATTGTCAAACAAAAAACTGGGTTATCCTGTTCTTTAATTATTGGGCTTACATTATGTGAAGTTATCTGTTGAATTATAATTCCGCTTACAATGCTAGGAAATTCAAACCTAATTACAATCTCCTCAAAATGATTTTTTCTAGTAATCATTTGATATTCTGATGTTGACGAATAATATGCATAAAACTGCCTCATTTACGTTTCTGTGTATTATAATTTTGAGTAATTGGTTGGCTAAACTGGTGATCAGGTGAAATTCAATTGCAAAAGAAGATTTCGGATCATTGTTTGTCTGTTGGCATCGTAAATTGCAGTGCAATGGGTTTTGATTTTGAAGCTTAAACTTCACCTTAGATATTTTTATAGTTGAAGTTAAGGATAAGAATGGATAGTAACAAAGATGAGGCCTTAAGATGTGTTGGTATTGCCAAGGAGGCAGTTGTGTCGGGCAATAAGCAGAGAGCGCTTAAATTTATCGGAATTGCACATCGCCTTAATAGTGAACTACACGTTGAAGATCTTTTGGCTGCTTGTGAAACTCTTAATGCCTCAACTCCTGATCCCTCTAGTGAGGCTGACGATGTTTTGAGCGAGAAACATGTCAATGGTCATGTCAAATTAGATGAGGTTTCAGATGGGGAGAGGAACTATACTGAAGAACACGTGCATTTGGTTACACATATTAAGAGCGAGAAGGAGTAATATGCAATTCTTGGTTTAGAGAAGGGTTGTTCAGTTGAGGAGATAAGAAAGGCATACCGCAAGCTTTCTTTGAAAATTCATCCTGATAAAAACAAGGCTCCGGGTTCTGAAGAGGCATTTAAGAAAGTATCCAAGGCATTTAAGTGTTTGAGTGAAGATGATTCAAGGAGGCAGTATGATGAGACGGGTTTGGTTGAAGAATTCGAGTTTGATCAGCAGTATAATCTTAGACGTCGGAGGAGAAGAATGGAGCGTGAGTATTTTGAAGATGATTTTGATGATGAAGAGATTATAAGGGCATTCTTTGGTCAGTCTGAAATGTTTAGGACAGCTTATGCCTACTGGACAAGGACCAACGTCCGTCAGCAGAGAGAGGATTTAGGTTCCTCTGGGCCTAACTTAATTCTCCTCTTTCAATTGTTACCATTTTTGATCATTTTTTTACTTGCTTATCTTCCTTTCTCGGAGCCTGAGTATACTTTGCAGAAAAACTACTCTTATCAGTTTGAGAAGGTGACAGACAAATATGGGGTAGAGTTTTTCGTTAAGTCGGCACAATTTGATAAGAATTATCCTCTTGGTAGTCCTGCTCGAGAAAAAATTGAAGACCGTGCTATCAGAGATTACAAAAATACACTTGAACGTTACTGTCGTATAAAACTCCAGAGGCGACAATGGAACAGGAACTACCCAACACCTCACTGTGACAGGCTTCAAAATTTTGGAATAGCTAATTGAGGTCAGCTTAGTTTCTTCTGTCTCCTTCCGTTCTATGTTCTGCTGAAGAAGATTTTCTGCTTTGATCAATGACTTTATAATTGTTTTACATTATATGAACTTCTATGTCAGCTTTAGAAATTAAATATTTCAACATCCAGTCAGTAAATTACACATTAAATGCACCATTCTCGATATTGAGACATGCCTATTCATGCCGACTTGTATAAAAACATGCATCCAGAACAGGAAAACATATCTCACATTGAGGTTACCAAAGACTGGCCAAAGGGGGAGACTAAACTTCCCTAAACTATGATAGTAAAAAGACTTGAGATGGATGAGTGTATTCCTCCCCACTTACTCCCCCAGTCACCCTAGTCCCTGGCCTACTACAACAGTACTTTAATCTGGGATTATACACAGAGACAGACACATACAGAGACACAAACACATATCCAATAAAGAAACCAATTTCTGGATCATCATTGTGTGAGGAAAAGTAAGGGGATTATGCATAAAGTTTGTATTTATTTCTTGTTTATTGATTCTGATTTATTTACTTGAGTTTAGGTGGAGTTATTCTATTCTGATTTCTTTTTAAACGCTGTAAGGAGCATGTATGGAAGGAGTAGTCCAACTCGGCCATGGCCTGTGGATATGCTCAAGAATAAAATCTGGACATTTAAGCAATTGAGATAAGCAAGGACACACTAACTTATTTTCTTTTCAGCGATTGCAATCTTTCAACCACTGTTTACTCATTCTCCTAGTGAAGATAAGATGACATAGAAATGTTGTTTGCTTTTACTCTGTCAGTCCCATTTTAACTTTCACTTTAGTTTGTGTGGATATAATTTCTTTTTATGTAATGGAACCATTTATTGCAACTCAACTTTGTTGAATGTTAGATTACAGTTCGCTAAGAATGTTATCTTTTGGAAAAGAAATTATCAGCTGCAACTCAAAATTGTTGAATGTTAGTGCAATAGTTCTGTTGAAGTCGTGGAATGTTTGTGCATTAGTTCTATCGAAGTCCTCCTTTTTGTCCTGCTGTGGGGAAGGCAGAAGACTTCTGAAAGTCACCTTTGTAGTTTTATCTGTTAAGATCTTGAAATAGAGAATCTAACACCAGATTAAGCACTTAATATAAATTAATTTCAGATTACCTGTAATCAGTTCTTATGAGTCTAACTAGGACCAAGATAAGAACAAAATCATGACACATCAATAAATTACCACAAATCTAATAATAATAAGTTTTCTGCCATAGATGGTTCTATATGTGTGTTATTTACTTACAAAAAACCCCTGAATTTCATACTTTTTTCATTTGTTCCACCGGTTTTCAAATTTATTGCTCTACAAAAGGTTGTTGTTAAATTTTTTCCTATATAAGGGTTGTGATTAGCCCCTATATAACATCACCTTGGTCTTGACGACTCCTTTGCATTTTCAATCTATAAGGCTTGGTTTGTACATTTATCAAGCTCGTAAACTCTTTTACCATGGCCGATTTTTATCAACCTCCCATGATTGTACTTGATAATCTTTTCCCGAATGATATCACGGCTGCTCCTCAATGCTCCATTTGCTTGGATGACGTTATAGATAACGATGGGAGGTCAATTGCGAAACTTATATGTGGTCACATTTTTCATTTGGGTATGTAACATAAGATTCAATTTTCGCATATGTCTAATAGTTGTATGTTTCATTTTGTATTGGTTAATTAAGCTAGATCTGCTGTCTTTTTGTTTTTTTTAAAACTTTATTTATGATTAAGAATTTTTTTCAGACTTGTTAATGAAGATGTTAATATGAACTATTCCAGGCATTTCTTCGCCCAATTTTATTCTTTTTTTAATTCTTAAATTTTTTATGAAACTTCTCTCTCTCTCTCTCTCTCTCTCTCTCTCTCTCTCTCTCTCTCTCTCTCTCTCTCCCCCTTTACGATTTGGCCCTTTTAGAAGAATTTTTATGAAAAGTTTCTAGAGATGAAAAAAGTATGTTTTAATGAGTAGTTAATTTAAGACGTTTTGTTCTGATCTCAGAAAAATGAAGCGTCTTAATGTTGTTTTTATAACTAAAAAGATGTTTATAAGAAAGTGCTTCAAACAAACGCTTCCAGAAAGGGAAGAAAAAGGGGAACAATAAAAAGTTGAATCCATACCTATTGTGTGAGAGACTTCGACAAATATTGAAACCATAATACTAGTCATTTTTGGTCAAGTAGGGTTTGCAATACACAATTAAAGCAGTTCACTAGTTTTTTTTTTTTTTGGTTAAGCTATCCACTCGGGCTTTCAGCTCCGTGATGAGGGGTTTGGCTTTCACTTGTCTGTTTTTCCTTTATTTATGTATTTTGTTAACATATAAGATTGTTTTCCTCCTTTTCGTACACGAATTTTTTTTATATGATAAATGATAGAGTAAAAATCTTTTGGAGAAATAAAATTACTCAAGTAGAATCTATAAATACATAAATGTCTGTGAGTGGCCCCGTGTATGTTTATTAATATTTATTCTGGATGCAGATTGTATAGGGTCTGAGTTCAATTCCCGGGAATTAATGCGTTGCCCGAATTGTCGGGAGATTGAAGACGGAAACTGGCTGTTTCCAGACGGTGAGGGACTTGATGAACAGCATGATGATGAGGAAGAGAGTGAGGAGGAAGATGAGCCTGAACCGGTAATTTAAAAGCTCATTTACCATTTCCACCTTCTTTTTGACATATATATAGTTAAATCATATTGGATTCTCCTTCTACTATTTATAATTTTGTAACATCTCTCTCATTTTTATTTACCTTTTCTTCTTTGTGATTTGAGTATAGATATATTGGCAGGCGTGTTTTTACAAGTGATACTGGTTAATTAGGTTTTATTTTCTTTGTGATTTGAGTTGAATCGTCTGTAACTTCAAAGGTAAGATTTACTTAGAAAATATGTAAAAAGGAACCCTAGGATGTCTAGACCGCATTAAAAGAAAGGGTACATCAAAATTAAGAACTTCAAGATTCGAATAACGTGGTTTGCAATCTATGTTTGAGTTCACCAAATCTGGACTTCTCATAATTAAATCTATAACTATTTAAGAATGTAAAAATAGAGATTTAGGAACTTTAACTAGCGTGAAAGTTAAATGAGAGGTTAGAGTCAAAGGCGAGCCAATAAGCTTTTCAGTTAATGAAGAGCTTCCCTTAATGTGAGCAGTGAGCCAGTAACAAGATACAATTTACGTCATATTATCATGCATGAATGTCTGTTCCATACTTGGCTCATAAATACGATAATTTCGTTTTAAAAGTGAGACCTAACTCAAATAATCAGGCTGTGGGTGTATAGTTGACTAGTTATTACATTGCAGGTTTATTTTTCCCCAACGTTGTAATATACTTTATTCCTTCTAGTTGTGGTCAATTAATTTTTATTTTAATTGTCCAGTTCTCTATTTGTTGATATACGATTGTAGTGTACTGTCACTGTTCCTCTCCGAGAGGAGAAAAAGAGAGAGAAGAATGAGATAAATTTGTTGTTTCAACAACTTGAGTAACTTCATAGTATCATGAAAGATCAAGTTGCTGGGAATTTATACTGCAGGTTCTTAGAATACTCATTGGACTATGGAGTTCGATAACTATTATGATTATTAGACTGATTATTTAAGATTGGTTTTATTTATTTACTTATTTATTTCCGAAATGGCTTATTTCATTTTCTAGAGATTTGATTGTTATTTGTAGTTTGTACATACGTTAATCTCTCACATTTTTACAGTTAAAAAAAAACTTGTGTTACAAACTCATTATTAGCATCTAATACAATTTTCTAAATCAATTTCCTCCTTGCTTTGGAGTAGTTGCCTGCTGAACAGCCAGTGGAGTTATGCTTTGGTCCACCTGTTGAAGTGGAAACTCAAGTTGCTAGGAATGTAAGGTAACCTCAAAATCATTTCTTATACATGCTTATGTGTCTTACGAGCAATAATCTTTTTTCCAAACAGCACATATAATTAAATGATTTAACTCTTCTATGCTTTCCAAATAAGATTCCAGTTAGAGTAATAGTATATACTTGCAAACATCAAACTTACGTTTTAATGTTGTGATCCATATCTGCCATATTACCAGCAATATGCATAACTTATGAAACAAAAGTAAAAGTCTGATTGAAACAAATTAGTGAAAGATCAATCTAACTTATTCTTTATTTTATCCATATTAATTTATATGCGGGTTGCTCTAGTGGTGAGCACCCTCCACTTCCAACCAAGAGATTGTGAGTTCGAGTCACCCCAAGAGCAAGGTGGGGAGTTCTTGGAGGGAGGGAGCCGAGGGTCTATCGGAAACAGCCTCTCTACCCCAGGGTTGGGGTAAAGTCAGCGTACACACTACCCTTCCCAGACCCCACTAGTGGGATTATACTGGGTTGTTGTTGTTGTTGTTGTGTCAGTGTTTTGAGGATTAGAAATGTGTAAATTTAATCAGAATTATTTAACTTTTATAAACCGATAGTGTAAATTAGGTCTCCTTTAATTACATGTCGTAAGAATAAATTAGTAACCTGCAAAACATGGTAGATAACTTTTTAAATTTCTTCCTGTAAATTTACGTACACTGATAGTATAAATCCATCTAACAATTGCTTTGTTGTGGAAATATGTAAAAAAAAAAAAAAAAAAAAAAAAAAATGGGATACGATTACGAGCTTCCCTCCAAGGGTATTCGTGTTGATGGGGTGTACAGAACACTGCCCAAGTTCTTCTCAAGGCTGCACAAAAACTTTCAATTCTACTACTCCCTTAACGGCCATACATCTCCAGTGTCAGCAGCCTGTTATGAACGTCATTGTCAATGCTCCTACAACTATTGCTATCCACAGGAATAATACCAACGTTGGAAACTCCACGCCTAATGGAAATGGGTAAGATAGTTTTTTCATTAAACTTTCAACAAAAGTCATGCTTCTTTTTTCTCTTTCTTTACTTGATTTAGTATTGTAGTTATCACTAAATTCTTTTAGAGTAACTTTTCTCATAATATGAATGTAAGTTACTATCCCGTGCATTGAAGAGGATTTAACAAAATTAACCTTTTCTTTCTTTTATTTTTTTGGGTGAAAATAAAAGTTTTATTAAGCACCAGCAACTAAAAACTACTCAAGTCTCCCTACAATCCTCATCTACAAACATAGCCTTTCTCTACACTTTGTTTTTGTCTACCATTACAATGAATAGCTCCTACTCCTAAAGTTTCGTCAACTGTACATAAGTCCTTATCCAAGGGTGGAGCCACCTTATGGGAAGCGGTGTCACGTGACACCACTTCGTCGGAAAGATTTATTAAATGCATATATAGACATAAGCAAAACCAGATAATACATAGAAAAGGATACAAGTGACACCACTTGAAATAAAATAGCTCGTTGCCCAGCTGGTTAAGCATTTCAACCTCTTAGTAGAGGTCGGGAGTTCGAATCCTTTTAGCGGCACGCAAGTTTTTATTGTTTTTGAGACATTATTTATTAAATAAGAATTAAAATATATTCTGTATTAGTGAGGCTTGAACCACTGACCTCTAACAAAATTAAGCAACAACAAAAAGAGCAAGAATTCATTTGTTAGTCAAGTTGACAATAAATATACTCAAATCTTTCTTGGAAAAAGACATACTTGGTACTAGTATTTCTAATGAGACTATCATTAATACATTTCAGAAAATAAGATTTATAGTAATGTTTTGATTTTTTTTTTTTTTTTTTTTTTTTGTTTTTTTTTTTTTTTTTTTTTTATAAATATGATGTCATTATAGCTATTCATTTGTTCACTTATTTGTTCACCTATTACAAAATGTGACACCGCTTACGAAATATTCTGCGTACGCCACTATCCTTATCTATACATGTTCCTCCATCCACTTCCTTTCCCTTCCTCATATTGATCTTTTATTCAATAAATCCTTCACCCGCTGTTTACAATTTTGCCGTATGGCATCAATCACAATTTAGGGTCGAGGTACCCTGTGATTCCAAAAAGCTTCATTCCTCACCTTCCAGATATGATAAACCAGAGCTGCCAGTATGAATAACACAATAGCTCTACAGGTTTTCTCTTTAGTTATCCTTGCCATTCTGCGCCACAACCCCTGAAAATCTTGTTGTTGTATCCCCATTCTCAACCATTGTAGTATTGCCTTCAAGCATAGTTGTGAGAATGGGCATGTAAAATATAGGTGATTAATTGTTTCAGCTTTATCTTCACAAATAGCACACATACTCCCTTGACAGTATTCCAATCCTGATCAGTCGATCCCTCGTCAGTAGTCTTTTATGCGCAGCTAACCAGCAAATGAAGTTGTGTTTAGGAATCTTATATTTGCTCCACACCGATCTCTTCCATGCCCATTCCTCCCTGGTCCCCTGCAACCAGTTGTAGCCACCTTTGATTGAGTATGTCCCTGTCACCTTTAGCCAGCCATCTTGAACATATATAGCCAGCTGCCACCTTTTATCTGATTGCATAGATTTTTCTCCAATACCAACTGCAGTTTTGAGGCGGTGAATAGCCAAATTAACCTTTCCTCTTTGATTAAATATGTATTTTGACAAAACTAGCTAGCCTTTATGAATAATCCAGTAATTATTCATACTACGTAATAAAATACATAAGTGACAGAAGAACTGTACTACTCCAGCCGTTCCAATTTATGTGAACTTGTTTGACTGGGCATGAAGTTTAAGAAAAAATGAAGACTTTTGGAATTTGTAGTCCTAAACAAGTCAAAAATGGGTCCAGAGTATTTGTGTGATTATAAAAGTTTCTCATTAAGGGTACAATTGAAAGATTAAGCTAAATTATTACCAAATTTAGAAAGGGAGTCATTCTTTTTGGAACGGACCAAAAAGGAAATAGGTTCACATAAACTGGAACAAAGGTAGTACTACTTATTATAACAAATTGAAGAGTACGTAATTATTTTTGGGTAGAGTAGAGTATTATTTTTGCAGTTTTGTTAATTATTTCGTGTCCCATATGTTACTAGGCCTGCTGCTGCAGCTGCAAATGGAGGGCCGATGCCACTGCCAATCTTTCAGCAGCTGCAACAACCAATGGCGCAAAACCATCTTCCTTTGTCTCCACTGTCTATCAGGCGGAGGGCGGGTGATGTTGCTGGAACCAGCCGTGAACAGGTGGCCCCTCCACCAAGAAATGGACCGGCGAATGAGCAGGCTATTATCCAGAACCTAATCTTGAGATTTCTCTGGAAGTTAATTCAACTTATAATGAGGAGCATCCGTTTTTGTGCCAAAGGCTGGAGAGCATGAACCTGGAGCGTCTGCGTCCTATAGACGAGACGAGGCTGGCTTCTGATGAAGAAGAAGATGATAAAATCCGCCATCCCAATATGTTTCATTTCTTTTAGGCATCGTCCGGATCGGAGACAAGCTCTTTGGATGGAGTTTATAAAGTACTGTGATATGGTACTCAAAACATTTTTTGAACAATTTATCTTGGGGTTTGTGTTTTGGCATCCTACGATAGACATTTGTGGTCCGGCCCTTCCCCGGACCCCGCGCATAGCAGGAGCTTAGTGCACCGGGATGCCCTTTTGTTTGTATTTTGGCATCGTTTTTCATGCCTGGTACTATTCTTAGATCTTGCTATCAAAACAATTGGAAGCTGCTTTTGATTAAACCATTGATGGATTCATATTTCCATAATTAGAAGTTCCAATTAATATTGCTTTATTTCTGTGCTAGTTATTCCATGCTAGTTTTTTTTAAAACTAATAGCCTGTTTGGCTGTACTTCTTTTTGGCCAAAGATATTTTTGTTTTGTTGCCAAACGTACTTTTTTCCAAAGTTAAGGTGTTTGACCAAGCTTTTTGAAAGAAAAAAGTACTTTTGAATAGAAGTAAAAACAGTTTTTGAGAAGCATAAAAAAAAGTAGTTTTTTTTAGAAACAATTTGTTGAAAATTACTTTAGAGAAAAATATACTTAGAAGCACTTTTTAAAGCTTGGACAAATACTAATTGTTGCTCAAAAGTGCTTTGCAAATTGATTAGTCAAACACAAATCACCAAAAATATTTTTTTTAAAATCACTTTGTAAATGCTATAAATGATTGGAACGTAACTGAAGTTTAACTAGTTCATGTGTTATAAATGAGTAGGAGTATTGCTTTAAACTTATAGGAGTACATAATATCTGACATTTTTTATTAATATAGATTTTTTTTTATTTGATCGATCAGTAGCATTTAAGTATGCTTTTTTCCTAATGGATTAGTTATACTTTGGTATTACTAGTATTAGAATGAGTACACTATATTAGATTAACATGACAAAATTGACAAATTTTCCCATAAGATTGTAGAAAACTTACTCTTCCTCTTCTTGCTCCTCCTCTCCTTCACCTATATATAACCTCGTAGAAATCATTAGCTTAGTATAGTTGTACTTGAAGCTATTTAACTAGTACTGTTCTAGAAGGTGTATATAAGTTGTTAGTTGATAGTTAAATGTAGCAGGTCTGTTAGTTTATTATAATAGGGTGTACAAGACATTTTATTTTTACCAGTTAAGAAAATGAGCTGAACTTTCTCTATCTCTTCTCTTCTTCTTCTTCTCTCTTCATCTCTGCTCTCGATCCTTATGAGAAGCTCAGACATGGTGGACCTAGGGCTTGATTTTAACATGGTATCAGAGCCCGGCTCCATGCGATTCTGATAGCTGAGCTCCTATATCTCATTAATCTCTTCAAATCTCTAATTTTTTCCAATTTTTTTTCTCTCATTTTTTTTTCCTGAAATTGTTCACTGCTTGTGAAATCTTCAAAATTCATCAAACGTTTGCTAAAATGGCGATCGATACTCCTGATGCGAGTGCTGGATCATCACATGCAAACACTCAAACACTTGATTGCAATGATCCGCTATATGTGCATCCTTCGGACACGCCAGGTATCTCACTTGTGCCAGAATTACTAATTGGAACAGAAAAATTATTCGGAATGGAGTAGATATATGATAATGTCACTACTGGTAAAGAATAAGCTTGGTTTTATAGATGGAACTTGTACTAGAGAACAGTATGAGGAAGATATTTTTAGGTTAAGGCAATGGGAATGGTGTATGCTATAGTCCAATCATGGATAAGAAGTTCAGTAGCACCAGAACTTATTAGAAGAATTGTATACTCTTGAGATGCGCAAAAGGTGTGAAAATCCATGAAGGATAGATTTGATAAGGTGAATGCCACAAAAATTTATCATATGAACAAGGAAATAAGTTCCTTAACACAAGGAATCTCTAGTGTATCTGTGTACTTCTCTAGGTTGAATGATCTGTGGGATGAATTTGAGTCGATTATCCATTTTCCTGGTTGTGACTGTGAGAAGTCCAGACAATTTATTGTGTTCTTACACCAGCAGAAACTTATGAAGTTTCTAATGGGACTAAATGAGACTTATGCACCGCAAAGAAGTCATATACCGATGATGCACCCAACACCAACACTTGATGAAGCATACTCTATGATTATTCAAGAGGAAAATCAGAGAATGAGCAGTGGATCTGCTACACAGAATGGGATTCTAGGTGGTGCACCTGTAGATATGGAAAGCAGTGAACTTGTAACTGCCAATGCTTCCAACATGAGACCTAGGAGGAACACTATATTGATATGTGACTACTGCAAGATGAAAGGACATACAAGGGACACCTGCTATAAGCTGAATGGATATCCACCGAGTTTTAAGTTCAACAACAGTAATAGGAAAGGAACACAAGAGAATAGTGGACCTATGGCTTATAATGTGAATATAGGGGATGAGTTTCAGAATGCAAGAAATGCATATGCTATGCAAAATATTCCAACTGTGCAGGCCTTCATTCCAGAACAGTATCAGCAGATTCTCAAGCTCTTAAGTAAAGAACCCCAGCCGTCAGAAGTTGCTAACATGGCAGGTAAATCACTAATTGAACATAGTTGTTGGATTATTGATTCTGGTGCTTCAAATTATATGGTATCATCCTTGAATCTTTTGTCAAGTATCACTCAAATACCTGAGCCTAAATCTTCCTCAGTACATCTGCCTAATGGTAATAGCACAAAAATTACTCACACTGGTTCTTGCAATCTATTTAACTCAGAAACCATTCATGGTGTACTCTATGTACCTGAATTCAGATATAACCTGTTGTCTATCTCCAAATACACTTTTATCCTGATTTTTGTATCTTTCAGGACCTCTCCAATGGCATGGTGAAGGGGATCGGTAGACTCAGAGAAGGGCTCTACATCTTCAATCCTTCAGCACCTGCTACTACCTCTTCTTCTTCCAACTGTATGACAGTCTCACATCAACCAAGTTCAAGCTTCATGTAGCATCAAAGACTGGGCCATGCCCCTATGACAGTCTTACAAAATATACCTGAAATAAATAAGTACTTGTCTAAGCCATCTACTTGTAATTGTCCTGTTTGTCCTCTTGCTAGGCAAGTTAGATTGCCATTTCCCATTATTACTTCTAAGTCTGTTTGCTCTTTTGAACTAGTCCATATGTGTGATGACCCAAAATGTCATCTTTAAATTTAATAAATAATTTTATGTTTTAAGACCTTGAAAAGCACCATTTATCATTCCTCGACTTGCGTGCGCAGTCCGTACAATTTTTCGGAAAGTTTTTATGTAAAAAATAGATTAAAATATGAAATAGAGTTTTAAAACTCAACTGAGTTGACTTTGGTCAACATTTTAAGAAAACGGACCCGGATTAGTGTTTTAACAATTTTGGTAGGTTCGTATCGTGATTTGAGACTCGGGCGTATGCCCGGAATCGAATTCCGAGGTCCCTAGCCCGAGATATGGAATTTTGATGAAAAATTAAAAGCTTGAAAATTTAATAATTTTTAAGAAATTACTGATGTTGGATTTATTGACCCCGGGTCCGTATTTTGGTTCCGGAGCCTGGTATAGGCCCACTATAATATTTATGACTTGTCTGTCAAATTTGGTGAGAATCAGAGTTGATTTGACGTGATTCGGACGTCCGGTTGTGAAAATATAAGTTTTAAAGTTTTCTTGAAAACTTCCTTTGATTTGATGTCTGATTCGTAGTTCTAGGCATTATTTTGGCGATTTGATCGCGCGAGCAAGTTCGTATGATATTTTAGGACTTGAGTGCATGTTTGGTTTGGAGCCCCGAGGGCTCGGGTGAGTTTCGGATAGGCTACAAGATGATTTTGAACTTAGAAAATTTGGTTTTTGAGCTTCTGCTGTCATCTGGTGCATTGTGCTTCGCGATCGCGAAGAGAATATTTTAAGCCGTGAGTTTTACTCTTCGCTTTCGCGAAGATAGGCACGCGAACGCGAAAGGCTAGCTCCCAGTGCACTGTAAACGCAAGCTCAAAGCTGCGATATGATAAGTAGGGATTTTAACCTATTATTTGCTCTCTTTTACTTAGGTTTTGGGCCAAAAATGCGTGAAGGTATTCCCGAAAACTAACTTAATGTGCTTGCTTACACGGTTTGGTCAAAATGAGGCAAAAAAGCCATAATCAACTCATGAAGGAGTCAAACTTGCACGAATCCAAGGCTGAGACTGGAGCACTGAGAGCGACAGAAAAGCGCGGTCGCATAAGGACCACCGCTGAGGTGGCCACTATTACGCGGTCTGCGAAAGTAGATTCAGAGAAGGTGCTTTCAGTACTAAAATCACCGCTGACCGCGTTAGAAAAGTGCGGCCGCGAAATCTTTGGAGCGACCGCGAGGGAATTTTCGCTTAGAGCGTGGTTCGAGGTTCAGAGACTCTACAGTTTGGGCTAAAATGAAGAACGCGGCCCGCGTCCAAATTACGCGGCCGCAAATTGATCTTACGCAGACGCGAAGGGAATTTCGCTGAGAGTGCATCTTGAGGTTTAGAGACCCTACAAGTCGGGCTTAACTGAAGAACGCGGTCCGCGTCCAAATTACGCGGCCGCGATGGAAGCACACGCGGACGCTGTTGAAATTATGCGGTCCGTGAAACTAAGCCCAATCCAAGTCCAGTATTGAAGAAATGCGGACCGTGCTCATTATTACGCGGCCGCGAAAGCTCAAGCCCGGACGCGGTCAGAATTACGCGTCCGCGAATCCTCCGCAGGGGCATTTTTGTTCGAAAATTTTAGCTGTATATAAATAGACCTTTTTGACATTTTTAGGTTAAGTTTTGTTTAGTAGAGCACGTGAACGGCTGGTTTTTCCCTTTTTGGGCAATTTTAGAATAGATTTACCTTCAAACTTTAGATTTTCATCTTGTACTTTAATATTATGGCTTATATTTCATCTATATCTTTGATTTCTGCTGTTATTATGAGTAGCTAGACCCCATAGCTAGGGTTGTGACCCAACACTAGTGTAGGTATTTAATGGGTCTTGAATTTTAGGGCTTAATTATTTATGGGTTAGTGATATTTAGCCTAATTCATGCTAAAATTGTAGAATTAGTGATTGCAAATACTGACTCATGCCTTTATGACTTAGGCTCTTCTTGAGAAAGAGGCACTGAGTCTAGGAAAATTAGGCTAACAAGGAATTGGGGTGAACTCAAGAGATTGATAGCCCCAATTAAAGGGTTAAACCTAGAGATAGTAATACCCGACTTGAGCCAATTTTACTTGTATTGTATGAACACCCATTTGGGTTTGAGAAAGCCAAATCGGGCAAAGTCACTCAAACTA